CCGACAAGCTGTGAAATGTTCCTCGAGATAAGAAGAATCTACCAAATATGCTGCTTGTGGTTAGATGAGGCATCAAACAAACGTCTGCTGAGCCAAAGATTCCCCAACCCTCCGTCGTCTCCTATTCCCACAAAAGTACAAACGAGGACGGCGCCATCGCAATCTCACTTTTGTCCTGGTTTCGTGATGATTTTAAAAAGAACTCTCGCATTGTCAGTCACGTGTGGACATTGTCCGCAACACCATCACCTAAATGTATCGCTTTCTGTCTTCCAACAATTATTCTCTATGTCCCTTCACCGTGTGGTTTGGTGAATTAATATTCAGTTTTATCATTTCTCAACATACCACTTAATTCCTCACATCTTCTCTCAGAAATATCATCTTCTATAAGTATGTGAGAAGACATTGCTACGTGGGTTCCAGTTGATACAGGACCAGGTCTCGTCCTAACAAAACATGTGGAAACGCGGCTCAAGGGTCGGGAGGTCACGGCAGAGTTCTCCCAGCGAGATCTTAGTCTCGCCAGTGGGTCTTCAAACACAGGTCTAACCTAAACAGTGACTTCCTGAGGAATCCTGTGGGCCATTTGATTCCAGGCACAGGGGTCAGCTCAGAACGTTATGTTGACTGTTTGGGGCAACTCCGAAGCAGTAATTCCGATGGATTTTTTTGAAGGACATAGGGCAATGTATTGGGTTAGAAAGAAGAGTTGAGAATATTGAAAACTGCATTGGTGAGGCAAGGTCCAGAAAAGTGTCTGGGGATTGTTTTTTCCCTTTTCATTTAGATATTTATTTTTTTAATAATTTTCATGTTATAATTTTTCCAAACCCTCAAAACGTTGTCTTTGGATAAATTCCCTTTCATCTTAAACTGTTGATCATTCTAACACAAGAGCGAGTTTGATTCCAGACAGGAAGGGTGACCAGAGGCCACAGGCTCTGGAGTCCTGTCCATCTCTGTTTGACCAGCAAGCAGATTCTTTTTGCCATCACAACAATCTACCTATGTGTTCTTTGTGGCTAACAAGGGCGGTCCTAAGAGAATTTGGTTGAGAAACCTTATAACATCCTCCTTAAAGTCTTGGTCTTGCCCTTTCAGACTTCTTTTTGCTCTCTAAACTCAAGGAACATTGAAAAGTAACATGATTTGTGACCCTCAAGCATGTCAAAACAGCCACGTTGATGTGGTTTCTATAGAAAAATGCAGAATCCTTTAGGGAAAGGTTACAGAGCTGGAAACCCGGCCTTCAAAAGCATGCAGACCCAGATGGAGCCTATGTTGAAACAATGACTCGGCATGTAATCTGCATTTAATCTAGATTTCTATGGCACTGCAGCAATGCCTGGACTTACCCTCATCATCCATATATTTCAGACATAAGTCCCACGTACAAACACTGGGCCATTTAAGAACATTTGTGTGTATTTCTTTGACTAATATCTTGAATTTACTTATTATTTGTATCCATACCTGGCACACTAGTAAACAGCTGTCAGGCATGTCTGTACGTGCTGGGCTGGC